TGAGGTTATAGCTGCGCGGCAGGCCCTTGACGACGTGGGTGATGTAGGACGCCGTCGAGTATTCGGCGCCCGCCATCCGCATCTCGGCCAAAATCCGTCGAGCACGGTTGCAGTAGTCCGTCGCCGACTCCTGCTCGCCCATCCGAAGGTGTGTCATCTGCTCCTCCAGCTGTCCGATGTACAGGTCGTCCTTAAATCGCCCGGTACGTCGACAGGATGGCCACGCTTGGTGACCAGCATCCAGTCGCTGTTGACATGACGTGAGCGCTATCTGCACCACCGGTGAGCAGCACCTTGAGATGACCATGAAGGTGAGCAGGTGAGCGGCACAAAACTCCCCGCGCAACTCGACCTCGTCCTCAGGCGGAATTGGCACGGTGCTGTCGCCAAAGCTCTTCAGATCTGCGATCTCCAGCTGAGGTTCCATCGCCTCCCTCCAGGTGACGAGATCCCGTCGACCTTGCAGCGGTGTGACGGTGATCTTGTCCGACGAAAACTTGAAGTAGCCATACGCCGGCGCAATCCCGCCCGCCGTCACGTGCGTCGTTGCCGAGGGAATCCCACTACTTCGTTCAGGAGAGCGACGTCGACCATCGACGTCGACACGTGAGCTGCCTGCAGCCGCTGTCGACCGCTGCACTCACGCCTGGCTCCCGTCGACGCCACCTTCGACCTTGATCACTCCTCTCTTCTTCGTGCCCTTGCTGCCGCTGACTTGTGCACCGCTGTCAACCTCCTCGTCGACGCCGCCTCCGTTTTGCACCGGTCGAGGAGATGCAGAACGGGGAGGGTGTTCCGTCGCCAACTGCGCCCGGATGCCCAGCTCGACGATCTCCAAGGGGATCGTCCCGTACTCGCCATCCGCGTGGCGTTTCCTCGCATCGGCCTGTCAGAATGTAATGGTTGTCTAGCCTGCAGTGGGGTACTCTATAGCGAGTACAGCCCTTCTAGGGTTTGCTATATGTATCCCTATGCTTGTTAGTCAAAATCCTCTTTGCCTATTTCTCGTTTTCGCCTAGCCTGTTTAACATGCTATCAGAGCAGGTCGACCCTCCTGGGTCGATCCTGTGGGTGGTCCCACCCGTTAGCTTCCGCTGCTGTTCTGTGTGTCGCGCGCCCCGTGGCGCGCGACGGATTTTTCTTCCCGCCACGCGCTCGGGGCGCGTGGCGGTTTTCTGCTCGCCGCGCGCCCCGAACGCGCGGCGATTTTCTGCCCGCCGTGCGCCCCGAGGCGCGCGGCGGTTTTCTGCCCCGTCGACCGTGGTGTCGCCCCCAGGAGCCCGTCGCGTCGCCCCGCAAGCCCGTCGCGTCGCCCCCAGGAGCCCGTCGCGTCGCCCCGCGGGCGCGCGGGCCGCCCTATCCCGTCGCCCGTCGCGGCGCCCTGGGGGCCCGCGCGTCGCCCCCCGTCGCCCGTCGCGGCGCCCTGGGGGCCCGCGCGTCGCGCCCCTTCTCGTCGCCCGTCGAGGCGCCCTGGGGGCCCGCGAGCCGCCCTACCCGGCGCCCGTAGCAGCTCCCCAGGGACCCGCGCCCCGCCCCCCTTCCGCTCGCACGCCGCCCCTACGCGCCGCCTGCGTTTAGGGTTTGGGGGTGGCGGGTTGGGGGGTGCCGGGTGTGTGCGCCGTCCCCTCCTCCTCCTCCTTCTCCGTCTCCCACTGCTGCAGCTGCCGCTGAGGGGGGTGGGTGTGTGGGAGCCGAGGGAGTGGCGCTAGGGGGGTGTAGTGGAAGTGGAGCTAGGGGTGCAGCAAGGGGGTGTGTGAAAAGGGGGTGGGACAGCTGGGGGAAGTTGAGAGGAGGCCGTCGACTTGTCGTCCGCAGCGCCTGAAGTCCAGGGAGCCACGACCCCCTGTGGCCTGAGTAGTCCGGGGCTCTGCGCCCGGTAGCTACAGTGTGTGCACTCCTGGGAGCACAGCGAGCCAGCTGCGACCCCCTGTCGCCGTGTAGTCCGGGTTTAGCCTGGTAGCGACAGTGCGGCGCACTCCTGCTGCCCGTGTGTCTGCAGCTTCAGCCGTCACCTCTCATCTTCTTGCTCCCACAGTTTCTCCTCCTCCTCACTTGCCCTCTGTGATAGCCTCTAGCTTTGCTTATATTTGTGAACCTACTGCTCTGCCTGCTTGTTGTGTTGATTGTACCCCACTTTGACTATGGGGGTGTGTCAGAATGTAATGGTTGTCTAGCCTGCAGTGGGGTACTCTATAGCGAGTACAGCCCTTCTAGGGTTTGCTATATGTATCCCTATGCTTGTTAGTCAAAATCCTCTTTGCCCATTTCCCGTTTTCGCCTAGCCTGTTTAACAGGCTACCGCGCCGGCCGTTGGCAGGGTAGGTGTCATGATTGCACGTGCTGCCGGCCTACGAACGACTTAGTAGGTGCAAAAGTCGGCTCCTATCTGAAGGTAATCTGCGGGGCCGTCCACGCTCACCGCACCATGAGGAGATTAACTTCACAAGGGTAGGAGATAGACTATAGGGTAGGCACGAGTTGTTAGAGTGATCGTAGCCCTGTCTCTGTTCCCTAGATTTTGTGTATTCATAGGGCAAAACAGCAAGAGTTTCACTAAGAAGGTTGGGAATACATAATGAACTAGCAATGGCAAGAATGACTACATCACATATAAGTTTTGCTAGTGCACAGGCAGGCCGGTCGCCAGCACGACAAAGTCGTCGACCTGCCAACGTAGCAATTCTGCGGTTCGCCAACGCAACCTGTGTGCGACTTGCCAACGCTGCAGAATGGCGGCCTGCCAACGCTGCACCCGCGCGGCTTGCCAACACTGCATCTGCAGGTGATTGTAAGCGCATGTGTAAGCACCTACTTCGCATGTGCTTGTAGACAATTACGCACAACGTGCATTGTCGCGCACATTGCTCAGGTGCCAGGTCAGCCACATGCAGACATTTGCACCTGACTAGCTACGTCGACCACGCCCTGCCACATTGGTCGACTTCGCCACAGCAACCTCCACGACGTTCGCGCACCTCCGCAGAACCTCGGCGAGCAGATAACTTGGTCGACCGGGTAAAGTCCCCGACAACCCTACAGAACGATGACCTTCATCAACATCGGTTGACGACCCTCGTTGTCGCGGGTCGACGACCTTCGTCGACCACCTCGGTCGACATTCCAAAATTTCAGCTCCTCATTGGTTGAAAATATGGCACATTCGAATTTCTTGCCAAAATTCGCCTGTGCATTCGTGAGGGTGCGCAGGGTTTGACGCGACCCTGCGCAGATGAACACCCGCAAATCTCTGCCCTAGCTGCGCCACTTGCACATGTGCACGAGACGTTTGCGTTGCACTTGCGGATGCTTCAGTTACTCTTGCATGGATTCCCTAGTACACCTCGTGTACAGGCAACCCTTCATCCAACCTGCGCAGAAGCTCCCGATCTCGCACACTGCAGAGGATCGGCTGCACCTCCCACACACCGGACCACGAAGTCGGTTTTGCCCAGGCGAGGGGGGGGCCAACTTCCTTCAACAAAACCAACACCCAACCTTCGCGATATCGCGAACCCTGCCTAGCTAGCCATTTGCGATATTTGTGCTAGGCTTCGTTTTCACATCAGTAGTTGTAATCACCTCCTCGTTATTGTAACACAAAACTTGTTCTCACGACCCCTGCTCCCCTGGGAAAGTCCAAGCCTAGTCCCAAACCGACCTTGCTGGAGGAGTCCTGATTAAAAATAACTGCAAAATCTTTCAAGAAGCCGCGTTGTGTGAATTTTATCCAGTACATTCCCCTGGTCTTCAGAAACTAGTGACCGCCTGGTTGGCATGCCTTGTCAGTTCAGCGACAACACATTGCTAGGCTTGGCGACAAGCAAGACTGCCCCAAGCACAGTAATAACAGACTGAGGTGGTCCCGCTTGGCGGCAAATTGGGGGCGTCGTTACTAACGACCTCGTCGTTTTGTGTCGTGCAAGTGTAGCTCACATTGAAGGTTCAGCGCTTCTCGCATCAAATCAGCGGAGAGACAAGTGCACAACGCGATCTCGAGGCAGCCATCTCGATTCGCAAGCGCCATGTCAGTAGGCCCACTGGCTGGCATGTATTTTCACGCCACTCGCCTGCTGAAATCCGAGCCAGCCACTCCGAAGCTGAAGTGCAGCTCTGGCTCTCTCGTTGGGAAACAAACCAGCGTGCTCCCCTCAGGGGCGGACCACATGATCACATCACGCACACAGCTAGGAACCACTGCAACCTCCGTCAGCATGTCATCGTACCTCCGGCATGCACGCTGTATCCACCCACTGATTTATTTCCCAGCCAGTCCCAGACCTGCCAGGCAGGTATGGCTGCCAGCCATTTTGAAGTGCGTCTCCCGTTCAGGAGAAATCCGACGACCGGCTCGCACGGAACGAAAACCCCATGGCCGTTGCGCTGAATCTTCAGCCGAGCTGAGCCAAGACGAGGTGAGCTGTGAGTGACACCCCGCTGCTGCTATCTCTGCTCCGTCCATGCATCTCCGTCCTAAAGTGCAGCATCAAAGAAGCGGACTACGGACGAAACAGGTAGCGGCAGGCAACTCCAACACAGACTCGAACCGCGCCGTTTGAGACGCCTTGGCGATCCACGGCACGCACAACAGCAAAAGTAGCAGCGGCATCACTTTGGCAGGGTGCTGGCCGGTTATTAGGACAGCAGGTGCACAGAGTGAACGTTCATGCATCACCACTCAAAAGAAAACTAGTTTTGAAAATCGCGTGGGATTTTTAACTTTAAGTTTGTTCAAGAATTTGCTTCCGCACGAGATCTGCCAGTTTCTTGTGGCCCTGGACAGTCGGAACATTGCTCCATCGTACTGACGAATAGACGTTAAACAGTCTTCATTTCCGTTCAATGACTCTTAACAACAGCGATAGGTTCGTGCTAGCGTCGTGTCTCTGTTCCGTCCAAAGAGTGTTCTTTCCACCGAGCGCTGCTCATGCGTCATGACATCCCACGGCCATCAACCGCCACCGCTCTCGTCCTGCTCGCCCCACTCGTCTCCCTCTTCCACCATGATCGACCCGCAATGGACACCAGATTCCTGCGCCTCCGCCTCCTCCAATGAGGCCCCGTGTGGGTTCGCGCCGCGAGCTTCCGCTCTCATGGATGCCGCGCTGCCCCAAGGTCCTCCTGGCGGCACCGCCGATACTTTCACGGCAGTCTGCGTGGTTCCGTTCGCTGCGCCCCTCCACGCCGCGTCGCGCCAATCATCGGGTCTACCGTCGCCTGGTAAGAACGGTCCGCTCGCGCCGTTCACAATCAGCGTCGTTCCGCAGACCGCCGCATCCCCACGCGTCAACGGCGCAGCGCAGCTCGCAGCAGCCTCCGGCGTGCTGCCGCTGTGGGTCGGGCCGCTGCACGTGCTGGACGTCAGCACGCACGCCGCGCGAACGGCGGGGGAGAGCTACGCGGTGCGGCTGTTGTTCGCGCTGCTGGTGTCATCCGACGCCAGCACGGGCGGCGGCGCCACGCCGTGTGGCGAGCAGGATGACGCGGACCGCGCTCTCGGACCGGCGGAGCACCCACTGATTGTGGCGGCAGCGGCGGCGGACGATGAATGGACAGCGATGGCGGAGGCGTGGAAGGGTGGCGAGGGCTGCGGTGCGGAGGCGGAAGGAGGGTGTGAGTGGGATCAAGTGGCGGCGGACGTGAAGGCGCAAGCGCAGCAATTGCTGCGCGACTGCGGCCTCACCGGCGTTGCGCTCACCATCCCCGGCTCGCCGAGCCATCGCCATGAGCGCGCCCAACAGATCATCGCCGCCGCGCACCACCAATGGTGCTCGCTCTCCCCCGCCCCCCTCCCGCCTCCCCCCAGCGCGCGTCTCCCCTTCCCCCATCGTGCTGCCCACCCACCCGCCGTTTCACCGCGGTCGCCGCTCACACCGTGCCCCGAGAACGGCAGCGACGGGGGCAGCAAGGCCGGCGGGTGGGAGGGGTTCAAAAGCGGCAACGCGCAGGGGAGGAGCAGGATGAGCGGGAGGGCCGCGCGGACGCTGCTGCTGGCGGCGTGCTGCGCGGGGCTGGACGCGCGGCACCTCCGCACGCACAGCCTCGCCGCCGACCCGCTCGACTCCGCCGCGGCCGACCAGCCGTCGCCCCTCTCCGCCGTTCCCTCCGCCCTCCCCTCCCCCTGCGCCGTGTCTCCCCCGCCCGTTCTGCAAGCACCCGGCAGTTTCCGCCGGCCGCCAGGATGCTCCATCGAGGTACCCCCGTCGCCCGCCGCCGAGCCGGAGCGCGCGAGTCCGGGGCGCAGGTTGCGGAAGCTGCTGTCGCCCGTGTACAGCCTCGGGGGTAGCTGGTTCGCCGTGCCGCGCTTCTCCTCCGCCACCGCGCCGCCTCTCGGCCACAGCGCGAGCTCGATGACGAACCGCGGGTGCGTGGGGCGCGCGTCAGGGGCAGAATTGAGGGGGCGCGACGAGGATTGGGGGAACGAGGACAGGGAGGAGAAGGAGGGCGGAGAGGAGGAACGGCGGGAGCGAGTGGAAGGCGGAGACGGAGGCGACGCGCCGGGGAGTGCGTGCGGGGAGGAGACAAGTGAGGGGGAAGGGGGGAAAATTGGTGAAGAGGAGGAGGAAGAGGAAGGGGAGGGGGAAGGGGAGGGCGGGCGCGAGTTGGCGCGCTCTCAGACAATGCGGTCGCTGCAGCGGTCGGCATCGCGCCGAGGCCAGGCGGGCGGGGCGAAAGGCGCGGGGCAGCGCAGAGCGAGAGCAGCGGCGAGAGCCGGGAAAGGGGGCGCGAAGGTGTCGGCGGGGCTGGCAATGGCGCGCAGCACGAGCTTCCGCGTGTACATCGAGACGGGTAAGGGCCCGGCGGGCGGCAAGGGCCGGGAGGAGGACGGCGGGGAGGGTGGCCGTCTTTCGCGGCAGAACAGCGCCGTGGGCCGCAAGGCGGCGCAGGAGGAGCGCGGCGTGCGGTACGTGCGGCAGGCCAGTCAGCGGGAGCGGGGGGAAGAGGCGCAAAGGCGGGAGGATGAGAACGAGGAGCGGCGGGAGCAGAATGGCGGAGCGGAAGGGGAGGAGGAGGAGGAACCGGGATCGTTCAGGCGCGCGTACAGCGCTCCGAACGGCGAGCGGTCGCTGGAGCGCAGCAAGAGCATGCGGCGCGCGCAGGAGGGGAGCGAAACAGGCGCGGGGAGTGGACGGCGCGAGGACAACGCGGGGGGAGCGGTTTCGGGAGCGGGGGCAGGGGCTGGAGGAAGGGTAAGGGGCAGCGAGCGGGGCGAAGAGCGCAACGACGACAGGCGCGAGCGGGAGGAGCAGCGCGAGCTGCAGCGGTCGCGCACTCTCCCCTCCCGCGCGGCTGCTTCGCTGGCCGCCCGCACCGGCGGCGGCAGGGACCAAGCGGCGGACCAGATGAAAGGAGGCGGGGACGCGGAGCGTGAGGGCGAAGCGCAGCGGAAGGCGGAGCTGGCGGAGAGGGAGGAGAGGGCGGAGCGGTTGCGGTGGCAGCTGCAGCAGCAGAAACAGCGGCTGCAGCGGCAGAGCAGCGGGCAGCAGCAGGCGGTGCGCAGCTGTACGGACGAGCAGGCGGCGGGGCTGGCGCGGCGCGGGAGAGAGCTGCTGCGGCTGGCGTCGCTGCCGCGGCAGCAGCAGCTCGAGGCGCAAAGAGGGCCGGCGCAGGCGGTGGGCGCGAGGCGGGGGGCGAAGCAGGTGATGTCGGGGGCGACCCCCAGGCTGCGGCGCACGGGCAGAGACGGCAGCTTCCGCGTGTACCTCGACCTCAGCCCACGCACCCCCCCCGCGCGCGCCGCTGCCAATGAGGATAACGCTTCCACGCAGGAAATGCGGCGCGCCGCGACGCACTCGGGAGCTTCGGAGCAGACGCGGGCTGCCGGCGTAGCGACGAGCGGGAGGCATCTGGACCGCGCGGCGAGCATGCGGGTGGGGGGGATGCAGGAGGGGGGAATGCAGGCGCAGGCGGCGGGCAGCACAGCAGGCAGGCAGCCACAGATGCGGCGCGCCGTGACGCACACGGGAACCGCGGAGGAGCGGGTGATGGTGGGAAGCGGCGCAGGGGCAGCGGAACGGAGGCAAGCGGATGGAAACAGCATGGTGGTGCGGCGGGCGGAAGGGGAGCGCAGGGCAGAAGATGGGGTAGGCGGGGCGGAGGCGTTACGGAAGGGCGCGGTGAGCGGCGAGAGGGAACGACTGGCAGCTGCTGCTGCTGCTGCGAGGCGCCGTGTGCTCGTTATTGACATCCCCGATAAGGGAGACCTCTACCCCGCCCCGCTCACCGCCCCTGCCTGCACCCTAGATCCGTCCCCCACCGCCGCCGCAACCCCCCCAGTTGCTGCCCCCTCCTCTGCGCGCGCTGCTCCCCGCGCGGCCCCCAGCGGGCAGCCGGGCAGCCGGGCGTTCCCTAGCGGCAGCAGGCAGCGGGGCGTGGCAGGGGGACAGGAGCGACGGGCAGGCAAGGCGGCAGCAGCAGGGATCTCACCCACGTCAGCAAATATCATGCCCATGGCAGCTGTGTTCACTCCCACGTCACCTATGATCACACCCACGTCAGCAGTAGTCACACCCACGTCAGCAATGATCACTCCGTCCTCAAGGGCCAGCAGCAAGCCGTCACCCCGGCCCGCCACGCTGCAGGCGCCAGCCGGCCCCGCCCCTGGCCCTGCGCGCGCCCTGCTCGTCCCCCCCAGCCTCACGGCCCCCAGCGGCCCCCCTGCTGCTGCCCCCACCCCGCGCATCCAGCCAGCGCGGTCGCTGCCGCCCATCCGCGAGGGCGTGGCGCTGCAGGGGCTGCTGCACGCGCACCAGCGCGCCACCAGGGGACCCGCCTTCCCCCCCTCCGCCTCCGCCCCCCTGGGGGACGAGCGGATGGGGGCATGGGGAGGAGCGGATGGGGGGCAGGAGGAGGCGGAGATGCAGTGGCAGGGGGAGCAGGCACTGGTGGGGCAGTGGCAGCAGAGGCAGCAGCAGGGTGTGCGGGTGCAGCAAGGGTGGGTGCAGGAGGCAGTGGGCAGTGGCGAGCATGAGTGGCAGCAGAGGGCCGTGGTGCAACCCCTTGCTCAGCTGCAGCAGCACGGACAGCTCTCTCATTATCCTGACCCCCACGATCAGCTGTACCGGCATCAGCAGCAGCAGCAGCAGCAGTTTTACCAGCCAAATCAGCAAGCAGGTTTCAACTCACAGCGTTGGCAGCAGCAGCAGCAGCAGCAGCAGCAGCAGCAGCAGCAGATGCACGCTGAACAGAGGGTGGGTGTGGGAAGGCAGGAGTGGAGCGAGATGCAGTCACCACAACCCTCGCTTGCTCACTCCCACTCCTTCAACCCCCAGCCACACCAGCAGCTGCGGCAGCAGCAGCAGTGGCAGCAGCAGCAGCAGCAGCGGTGAGTGGTTGCAACAGGCACAGCCCAAGCGGGTGTCATTCAGGCATGGCAGCGAGCCCGCCTCCCATCTCGTGCCACAGCAGCTGCCTTGTGTCGGCACCACCACTCACAACGCGCCACCGCAGCAGCCCACCAGCATGAGGACAGCCGCTCACAGCCAGCAGCGGCCCCTGGCTGGCCCCCATGCAGCGTCGGCACGAGCACAGCCTGCCGTGCCCGCCAGCAGTTCTGGTGGAGGCGATGCATCGCTCACGCGCCTGCTGTCGTGGAACGCCGGGTCCAACTCCTTCGCTGCTGCCGTGCGCGCCTGACCCCGCCACCGTGCCCGCCATGTGCTCTTCGCGTTTCGACTCCCATCCCATGGTCCCATCCCGTGCCCTCCCAGTTCGTAGACCCCCTTAAAAAGCCATCCACATCCATGGGGGGGCGGGGAGGGTTCTCAGTGCGGCTGACCATCCTGTCCCGTGCGAATGGTTTAAGTTTCAACGCCCTAGCCCCCGTTTGTCCAGGCTATGTTCACATGTTTAATGTACAACATTTTTTAGGAGGATGCACATATTTATATTAATTTCATTTGCTCGTCATGAACTAGAAAATCTGTCCTACATATCTGTGCGTCAAATCATATCCGGCACTTGACGCACTATTTCAAGTTCACCACATTCATTGCTTGAATCATCCTCTCTAATCACTGCGTATTCCCGTCCCTCAGAACCACGCCCTGGGAGTCCAATTCTCCTCCACACTATGCATGAATCCACCAGATATGATGCCTCCACCCAGGGAAGTCTTCCTAGCGTGTATAGTTTAATATGATAACTTGCCTTACATCAAATGAAGTGTAGCTTATTTCTACTCCCCATCTGAAAGCGGTGGCAGTCGGAGACAAAAGCATCAGCACCTGATTTTTGCTTCTTGCCATTGGATCAGGTGGGCCCTGCTGCTCGGTCTGCCCTGCTCTGTTGCCACTGACTAACGCTCGACCAGATGCAGCAGCTGAAATTCTCATTCGCTCCTTTTCTGCCGCCATGTCCTCGCACATGGGGGGGAGCCGGGCATGTACGGGTCAGGTTCCCCCTTCCCAACCAAATACTTGCACAGTGCTCATTTTATGCCCGCTTCGAAACCACCAGCACATCAACGCCTGGTCAGGGCTCGGTTCAGGCAGGGTCCTGCCGCCTTAAAGCCGTGGCCCAACTTTCAACTTCAACTTCAAGGTATTATAGCTTGGAAGAGTTTGACCCAGGCAGTTCAGAGCCGAGAAGTTTGTCCTTTTTTGCTTTTCGGCCAATAGAATTCAAGTTACACACATGCTACTTTTGTCCGCCTACTGTTCCTAAGAAGTTGCACCCCGCCTTTAATCACAGTCTGCCCTGCGTTCCGTCTTGGTGGGAAAAAAAAAATCGTCCTTAGTTATCTTCATCGACAGCTGGTTTTGCAGCTGGGAACAGCTGTGTTTGATAAGTGCTCGCCCCAAACTGAGACTAGCCGGAGTAAATTCCTCAACTAATACCTGAAGCTCAGGTTGGTTTCTCGTTCTAGCAGCCCTGCCCAACCTGCGTGAGGGAGGCTGAACAGATGAGTTGCAGAATGGAGGAAGCGACAAACAATGATCGACGGTGCACACGCATGCAACCAAGCAGGCGGGGCGCAGGATGATCAATTTCTTTCACTCCGTCTCCACCACAACCCATCCCCACGCAACTCCTCCTGAACCAAACCAGGTGCTCGGTTGGACTTCGAATGCTAGTTCAGCAGCAGCAACACTTTACATAATCCAACAAAGTGCTTTGCGTGCGTTTCGGAGCCTACTCTTTTCTTGAGAAGGCGGATTAGTTATTGAACGCTCGCCTCGACGTTTCCAACAGCTGTCTATCGCCACCATGAAGGCCTGGAGCTGGCAGGACTCGCTTCGCCAAGCGGCCACCATTCGCACTTTGCCCCATGCATGGAAGGAACACCTCCTCCCTCAACAGCAGCTCGACGCGCTAGCGGGGTCGTCAGCAGCCTCTGTTGAGTATCTCCTGAATGCTTGCAACAGCAGCTCTGCATTCTCACCTCGCCTTGCACCCCTCGATGGCGCAGCATGCGCGTCGCTGCCCGCGCTCGAACCACTGCCACGGGGTGCGGGCCTGCTGTCGATACGTGAGAATTCCGATCGATCTTCCCCAGCCTCCTCGTTCCGCCTGTCAGCGGCGCACTGCGAGAACCCGGTGGACGCAGAGGCTGAATTGATGCAAACGGGCGAGGCGCAGAAGGGGCAGGGGTGCGAGTGGGAGGGGGAATGGCGCGAGGAGGACGAGGTGATGTCGCCACGGAGCAGCACGGGCAGCTGCTGCGACCCCGACGATCTCGACTCGCTGCTGGAAGTACCGCACGCCTTCGGTCAGCATGCGTGGGAATCCGAATTCCGTACCCAGTCGTCTCATTCTCGCAGCAGCTCCTGTAATCTCGCTCTGCCGCCTAGACATTTGCCGTCCGCCTCTTGCGACTCACGCCTCGCCGCGGAACTGCTCGAATCAGCTAGCTCGAGCCTCGCGGCGAACCCTCATTTCCAACTGAGCACCCAATGCGTATTTGACGGCGAGAGGATTCCCGAGTTGGTGTTGTGGTTACTCCAACGAGGCTCGGGTCATGAAGACGACATGATGGCGCAACTGCAGCAGATCGCGGCGGTGCTGGAGGAATTAGAGGCTCGGGAGGGCGTGGTGCACGGTGAAAGGGGTTCGGGTGTAGAGGTGGACGAGCAGCTGAGCAATGCAATCCGGCAAGTGTTGCTGATGCAAGCAGCCTGCTAGCCCACTCCGGTATGCCCTAGCGCAGTAAAATTCTATTGATTTGTTCAATCTGTATATTGTAGCACAGTCAAGGTTGTATATTGTAGCACAGTCAAGGTGCCTGTACTTCTAGCTCTGCAAAATGAGATGCTGCCAAAGCAACTGTGAATAATAATTGCTTCATATTGCACTGTACTGTGCTTCCCACCTCACTGGTGGCAGCTCATTTTAGCTGATTTGATCGATTTTACAGTGCACTGATTTTCCATACCAGTGTTAGGCCCGCTGGCCTATGTCCGCTAAAGAATTAGCGGGGTCGACTAAGTCGAGGATAAAGCGCGGCGGAAGACTTTGGCGAAAGAACTACTAGCGAAATAGGCGAAGGAGTTACTGAGTAATTGAAGAAGAGTTGAATGAGAATTGGTTGATAATGCAAAGTACAAGCAAGGTTTTTATAGCATGCAAGATGTTAGAATATATCTGTAACTGCCTGTAGCTGTAGTTTAGTGTAGTTATTATAAACTGTTGGTGGTGCACCTTCTTTGCATGCTCTGTTTGCTATATGTACCCTAGTGCTATAGTGAACACCCACCCTTTTCTCATTCTCGACTCCCTCCTTGGCACAAACCACCTCGATTACCTTGGGCCTAGGCTACTAAGCCTAGGCCCACTTAAACCCAACCACCTTTCCCTTGCCTAAGTTCTCAACATGCTATCAGAGCCTGTTAAGTCCTGGCCTGTGGGCCAGCCTCTCGCTTCCGCTGCTGTTTTTCCGGTCGCGCGCCTCGGGCGCGTGGCGATTTTCGTTCTGTCCAGCGCCCAGGTGACGCGTGACGTTTTTTCTGCCCGTCGCGGACCCGCCCCTGGCGCCCGCGACGGTGCCCTGAGCCGCCGCGGACCCGCCCCTGGCGCCCGCGACGGTGCCCTGAGCCGCCGCGGACCCGCCCCTGGCGCCCGCGACGGTGCCCTGAGCCGCCGCGGACCCGCCCCTGGCGCCCGCGACGGTGCCCTGAGCCGCCGCGGACCCGCCCCTGGCGCCCGCGACGGTGCCCTGAGCCGCCGCGGACCCGCCCCTGGCGCCCGCGACGGTGCCCCTGCCTCACCCGCGCCTGCACTCGGTGCAGCCGCCCCTGCACCACCCAGCGCCTGCCCTTGGAGCAGCCGCCCTTCCCCTCCTCCTCCTTTCATTCCCACTGCTGCAGCTGCCGCCGGGGGGGAGGGTGTGAGGGTGTGGGGGAGCCGGGGGAGTGGCACTGGGGTGGCGGGTGTGAGACCAACCAGCAGCCGTCCCTCCACCTCTCCTCTCTTCCCCCCTCTGCTGCTCCTGCAGCAGTGTGGGGGGGGAGGGGGAGGGGGAGGGTGAGGGGATGGACGGGGTGACCAGCCAGAGCCAGCCCGCCTCCTCTCTCTCCCTGCTGCCCCTCCTGTGGTCGGGGGGGGAGGAGAGTAAGGGGGTGGCAGGAGTGTCTTGCTGTCGCCTGTCCCTTTGCTGCTGTTCCTGCTCTGTTACCGTGCCTGCTGTTGCTGTTGCAGGTGTACCCCTGCAGGTTGTGTTCTGCACAAACTCCCGCTGCAGGCAGTTATGGGGGAGTGTTAGAATATATCTGTAACTGCCTGTAGCTGTAGTTTAGTGTAGTTATTATAAACTGTTGGTGGTGCACCTTCTTTGCATGCTCTGTTTGCTATATGTACCCTAGTGCTATAGTGAACACCCACCCTTTTCTCATTCTCGACTCCCTCCTTGGCACAAACCACCTCGATTACCTTGGGCCTAGGCTACTAAGCCTAGGCCCACTTAAACCCAACCACCTTTCCCTTGCCTAAGTTCTCAACACAACAAACAAGGTTGGAAAGTGGATTGTGGGACCAAGAATTGTAGTGCAAGAAAAGTAGAGTGCCACGTGGCACTAGAGAATCTGAGAAGATAAGGATAAGGGTGACTTGGAAAGTACTGTTCGGAATGAACAGTAAACACCCCTCTAACACTACCCCCCTCCCAAGGAGGCGACGTCCGCGGCGCCTGCAGACTGAAGGTACGCTCGGAGGCAAGCGTTGTCGGGAGACAGCGAGGACGAAGGAACCCAGCTGTCGTCGGCTGCATCGTAACCACGCCAACGAACCAAGAAGTCGATGAAAGAGACACCCCCCTGGAGACGGCGACGGTGCCGGAAGATGCGCTGGATCTGGTAGTCGGGCTCGTCGGTGTCAACAGCTACCGGCAGTGGAGTGCGATCACGGCCCGAGAAGGTGGCGTTGGGATCGGTGTAAGGACGAAGGAGAGACACGTGGAATGATGGGTGCATGCGGAAATGAGCGGGAAGGCGAAGGCGGTATGCGACTGGACCAAGTGCGCGCTCAATGACGAATGGACCAATGAAACGTGGGCGAAGCTTGCTGTCCTGTGGCAGTCGGAGGTTGCGGCTGTCCAAAAGAACACGGTCCCCAACAGAAAACGACACCTCACGACGACTGCGGTTGGTGGTGCGTGCCATGCGTGCATTTGCGAGCTCAAGGTGCTTCCTCACGTGGTCGTGAATGAAGGTGAGGTGCTTCCTCACGTTTGTCCGCACGAGGGACAGTGGGTGTGAGATCGACACGAGTGGGGACATTGGGGTGCTGACCGTACAGTGCAAAGAACGGTGACATGCCTGTGGCGGAATGATGCGTGTTGTTGTAGGCGAACTCAGCCATGCTCAGCTTCTTGTCCCATGCGGCTGCGTCGTGCATCGTGATGCTACGAAGAATCTGCTCCAAGGTCTGGTTCACGCGCTCAGTCTGTCCGTCTGTCTCTGGATGGTATGCAGACGACATGGCTAAGCGAGTCCCAAACAGTGCGAAAAGCTGCTTCCAGAACTTCGAGGTGAATCTAGGGTCGCGATCGGAAATGATGGAATCGGGAACCCCGTGCAGTCGGACTACGTTATCTACGAACAGCGTCGCGGCTTCCTCTGCTGTGCCTTGACCGTGCGTGGGGATGAAGTGCGCTGCTCGAGAAAACTTGTCGACTACAACGAAGATGGCATCGTGACCCCTAACTGTGCGCGGTAATGCCATGATGAAATCCATGGTAACTACCTGCCAAGGGCGGTCGGGCGGTGGAATCGGCTGCAAAAGTCCTGCCTTGCGCTGTCGCGAGGACTTCGTACGCTGACACGTGTCACACGAGCGAATGTAATCCTCTACGTCTGCTGCAAGCCCTGGCCAGTAGTACGTGCGACTAAGCGTCTTAGCCGTCTTGTCTGCTCCGAAGTGACCTGCACTAACTACGTCGTGTGCCTCTGAGAGAAGGAGCTGTCGAAGAGGGCGGTAGGCTGGAACCCAAATCCGTGTGGTGCCCTTCCGTATGTAAACACTACCCTGCACCTCTGCTCCTGCGGGCGGCTGCGGTGTGAAGTCGGGATCTACTGTGTAACCGTGCTCGAAGAGTGCTGTGAGAAGTGGATGGCCTGCAGTGACTGTGAGGCTAGCGAGCTGACAACTAGGGCGAGTGAGCGGATCTGCTGGGTTGCAAACGCCGGGCTTGTACTCTATCCGGTAGTGGAAACTCCCCTCCATGAACTCCATCCATCTAGCCTGGCGACGACTCAGCTGCGGCTGCGACTTGAGGAAACGAAGCGAGCAGTGGTCCGTGCGTATAACACTATCTGCCCCCTCTAGGTAGCACCTCCACACCTTATACGCATGGATGATCGCGAGCGCCTCCTTGTCGTGTATGGGATAGTTCAACTCCGCTCCCCTAAGCTTACGCGACTCGTACGCAATCGGTTGCAACCCGCGTCCCTGGTCCTGAAGAAGTACTGCTCCTATGGCCTGATCTGAAGCGTCGGTCACTACAACGTACGGGCGAGTGGGATCAGGGTACGACAGTGTCGGTGAAGACGTGAGCGACTGCTTCATCTGCTCGAACGCCTGCTGCTGCGCTGGACCCCAAACGTACTCTACGCCTTTCCGAAGTAGGTCGGTGAGTGGACTAGCGATGGAAGCGTAACCCTGAACGAAACGGCGGTAGTAATTTGCGAATCCGAGAAAGCTCTGCAACTCCTTGACTGAGGTCGGTGCTACCCAATCCTGTACCGCTGCGATCTTCTTTGGGTCAGTCCTAACGCCACTAGTGGATACGACGTGTCCTAGAAACTCGACCTCGGGGAGAAAGAACTCGCACTTCGACTGCTTCGCGTACAGCTTCTCCCTCCGACGGACCTCAAAGACCCTCTGTAAGTGTTGCACGTGCTCCTCTTTCGACTTAGAGAATATCAAGATGTCGTCTAGGTAAACGACAACGAACGAACCTAGGAACTCGGAGAGGACGGTGTTCATAAGCGTCTGGAACGTCGCTGGGGCGTTGGTCAAACCGAACGGTAGAACCCTAAACTCGTACAACCCCTGCTTCGTACGAAACGCCGTCTTGTGCTGGTCCTCTGGAACTACGCGAATCTGGTGGTAACCCGAACGAAGGTCGATCTTAGAAAAGACTCTAGCGCCCTGCACTGCATCTAGAAGATCCTCTACTCTCGGCACCGGGAATCTGTTCTTGACGGTGGCGGCGTTCAGTGCGCGGTAATCTATGCACATCCGTAACCCTCCGTCTTTCTTAGGCGCGAAAAGGATCGGTGCGGCCCAAGGCGATCTAGATGGCTGTATGAACCCCTGTGCGAGAAAGTGCCTAACCTGCTGCGTCATCTCCTCTGTCTCTGCTGGACTCAACCTCCACTGCGGCTTCGCTACTGGCCTGCTCCCCGGCTCCAACTCTATTCGATGGTCGACTGCTCGGCTAGGAGGTAACCCTGGGGGCAACTCGTCGGGGAAGACGTCTGCGAACTCTGCTAACAGTGCACTCACCTCAGCAGGAAGAGTCGCCTTCTCACTAACTGTTGCGCTCCCTCCTTTCCCCTCCTCAGCTTCCACCTCCTCAAGGAAAACCGCGAAGATCCGTGCCGCTCGCTTCACCAGCTGTCGCACACGAACAGCATTGATGATCGCTGTGGATGATGTGGCCCCATCGCTCCACTGTGGCAGCTCCCGGAACTCGCCATCTACCTTGACGCTGCAGCTTCCCTGAGCCCAATCGAACTGAGTCGAAACCGTCCGCAACCAATCTCTACCGAAGATGAAATCGTAACCGTCCAGCGTCGCAGAGTCGAAGTCACGCCTAACTGTGATCGGTCCTAGCACTACGCGCAACTTGCGAATGACTGGTCCTATGTGGAGAGGCGTCCCATCTATCATGCGAGCATCTTTGAAGTTGACTGAGGAATCTGCTTCAAGATGGAGACGGCTAACTAATGAAGACGAAACGAACGAGTGGCTAGCTCCGCTATCGACGAGAATCTTAACAGGAACTCCGCGAAGCTTCCCTAGAAGCACGACTGGACGATCAACAGTGTCTACCTCGTTCTCCGTAGATGACTGCTGCGAGGCCGTCTCCTCTACGTTGGTAGACCTGGCGGGTACGGGAACCTCCACACCAGCTAGCGACCCGCTATCTACTGGCGGTTTCCGTTTCCCTGCTGTCGCTCCTTGAACTGTGGGCAGTCCCGCTTCATGTGTCCCGGCTTTTTGCAGTAGTGACAGTTCCCCCTAAATCCGTTGCGCTGTGAGCCGTCACTGTTAACTGCACCAATCTCCATGGGCGACGGTCCGTCCCTCGATCGAGCGTCGTTGATCGGTCTGTTGTATCCCCTATCGCGATCGTCACGACCCCGTCGGCTTCGTACTGCGTCGACGCGTTCTGCTGCTGCGACTACTGACTCGAAGGTGGACAACCCGTGAATCGCAATAATCTCCGCTATGTCCGGCTTCAACCCTTCGAGGTAGCGATCGCGCATCTCTGCTTCCGTGATGTCGTCTATCTCGTTGCAGATGCTCAAGAACCGTCGTGTGTACTCCTGGACGTTTCCTATCTGTCGGAAATGACGCAGACGCTTCCTAGCAGCTTCAGAGACGTTCACCAAATCGAACCTACTTTTCAGCGCCGCTTCAAATCCTTCCCATGTCGTCGGAACCGTGGTAACACCCAAAGCTAAACTCCCTAAGCTCGAAGTTGCAGCTGCATGCCCCACGCCCTGTTGATGCCCGTCTAACTGAGCCCTCCGTACAGCAGTCTGCGTAAGTTGGCGCCACCACTCCAAGGCCGGGCCCCTCAGCAGCGTTACGGCGTACTCGATCCGCTGCTGCGCGTCCGCCTCTTGCACCCCGCTCGCGGCGAAGTAGTTGTTGAGCATGAAGAGCCACGTCCGCACGTTCGCGTCGCGTTGACTTGGGTCGAACGACTCGGGCTTCTGCGGCTTGAGTGCGCTTCGACGTTCCGGCAGCGCTTCCGCGCCAGTCGACGTGGTGGGTGCAGGAGTTGGTGCGGCAAGGCCATGGGGGTTAGAAGCCAAATTGCGAAGTTGTTGCATTTCGGCTCGTACCTGACGATTTTCAAACGTCAATTCTTCGAGTTGACGCATGAGCTCGGCAAGCGTGTTGCCCATGTCGTGGGGGAAAGCGTTCATGGATTCGTCCATGTTCGCTCGACGACTCCAAGTCTGCAAGTCGGCACCGCGGGACGATGACGTCGTAGTCTCGTCGTCGACGGTCGCTCGTTGGAAGTCGCTCCCCGCGAAGGCTCTGATACCAAGTGTTAGGCCCGCTGGCCTAAGTCCGCTAAAGAATTAGCGGGGTCGACTAAGTCGAGGATAAAGCTGTCAAATTATATGTTTGTTATAATTTAGTTCTAGGTTGTGTAGGGGTGTTTCTTAGAGGGTACTTCTATTCTCTCGACACTCTCTTGTACCCCCCCCCTTAACCTAATCGATCATCCATTCCTCTCAATCCTGACATGGTATAGAGCAGGAAGGTTCCTAGGGCCCACCACGGTTCACGAAATTTTTTTTTTCCTGCCCGGAGCGCGCTTCGCGCCTACCCTAGTCGCGCCCCGTGCGCCTTTTCCTTCACGGCCCGTTGCGGCCTCTTCTTACGGTTTCCTCGCGGCCTCGTAGCCGCCCTTCCGCGGCCTCGTCGCCGCCCATTTCGCGGCCTCGTCGCCGCCCATTTCGCGGCCCCGTAGCCGCCCTTCCGCGGCCTCGTCGCTGCCCATTTCGCGGCCTCGTCGCCGCCCATTTCGCGGCCTCGTCGCCGCCCATTTCGCGGCCTCGTCGCCGCCCATTTCGCGGCCTCGTCGCCGCCCTACCCTTCGCGGCTCTGTCGCCGCCTCTCGCCGCCCTTTGCGGCTCCTCCAGGACCCGTCGTGGTCCCCTTCGCACGTGTCTGCAGCAGCTGCCGCCACCGAGCCTGCAGCAGCAGCCGCCGCCATCCTTCAGCAGCTGCAGCTGCAGAGCCTACAGCAGCAGCCGCAGCCGGACCTGCAGTAGCAGCCGCCGCCGAGCCAACAGCAGCAGCCACCGTCGGACCTGCAGTGGCAGCCGCCACCAGACCTACAGCAGCGGCCGCCACCGACCCTGCAGCAGCAGCTGCCGCCGACCCTGCAGCAGCTCCCGCCGCCGAACCGGCAGCAGGAGTCACCGCCGAACCTACAGCAGCGGCCGCCGCCGTCCCTACAGCAGCTGCCGTCGCCGAGCCAGCAGCAGCAGCCGCCGCCGTACCTGCAGCAGCTGCTGCCGCCGAGCCTACAGCAGCAGCCGCCACTCGAGACTACAACAGCAGCCGCCGCCGTCCCTGCAGCAGCGGCCGTTCCCGAGCTTGCAGCAGCTGCCACCGCCGTCACGACTACCTCGGCCCTGCCGTACTAAAGCCGCGCTGCCCTGCCCTACCGCACTACTGCTGCTACTGCCACTGCTACTGACACTGCTACTGTTCCTCCTACTGCTACTATGGCTAGCCCTCCTGTGCTAGCCTTCGATGCTGAGGGCCGCCCAGTGAAGTTTGACACCTGGCTAGATGACCTGCACCTCTTCCTACAGCTCACTGCCAAGGAGGACATTTCACTGTACGATCACGCCCTAGGCCACGCTACTGCCCCTGACACTTCTACTGACAGCACTCTGCGCTCCCAGTGGCAGACCCGTGACGCGCACGCTCGCTTCGCTATTCGCAACTCCCTACCGCTAGATGAGCGCGAGCACTTCGGCCAGTGCAAGACTGCTAAGGAACTGTACACAGCCGTAGTTGCTCGCTACTCCTCACCTGCGTCTGCCGCACTAGGCCGCCTCTCACTGCCCTACCTGTTCCCTGACCTGGCCTCCTTTCACACTGTTGCTGACCTCATCACCCACCTCAAGACTAGTGAGGCCCGCTTTCGCGCTGCTATGCCTACCGAGTTCCTTGCTAGCAACCCCCCCCCGCTCTGGCTCACTCTCTACCACATTGTCACCCGCCTCCCTGACTCTCTACGCGCAGTCAGGGACTCCTTTCTAGCTCGCTCCCCTACTGAGCTCACCATTGCCCTCCTTGAGAAGGACCTACTTGCAGCTGAGGCGAGCATCGTCGCCGTAGGTGCCTCTCGTGGCGACCCCCGCACCCCCTTCTTTGAGGGGTGTTCCCCTTCCCCTCTCCTCCCCTCTGTCGCCTCTGCTGCTGCTGTCGACCTCCTTGGTGCTGAGAAGGTCGGGACCGCGTCTGCTTCGAGCGGGCGCCGCAAGAGCAAGGGGGGCAAGGGTGGTGGTGGTGGCGGAGGAGGTGGGGGTGGAGGCGGTGGGAGTGGAGGAGCGACGGGGGAGGCTAGTGGTGGCAATGGGGGTGGTGACGGCAGCGGCGGGGGCGGTGGCAGGGGCGGGGGCGGCAGCGGGGGCGGAGGTGGTCGTGGCAGCGGCAGGGGAGGGGGTGGTCGAGGAGGTGGCGGCGGCGGTGGTGGTCGTGGAGGCGCTGGCGGTGGCCAGAGTCAGCAGCCCGCCCCGTCCCTCCAGGCCGCCCGTGAGTGGTATGCGCAGCGTGGGGGGGGGGTGGTGTTACCTGCACGTACGTCATCCACACTGGTGACCGCACTGGCCAGCAGTGTGGGAGGCCACACCCCACGCAGCGCTGTTACGCGCGCCTTACCGACGCTTGGCGCGCTCAGTTCCCTGGTGGCGCTGAGTTGCCCCGCTGGGGTGAGCTGGAGAGGCAGGGGGTTGATATCTGGGCTTTAGACTATGATGCTATTCTCACTGCCATGTATGCGATGTTTACTAGTGGAGAGGGTGCTCAGTACTTGCGTGTTCCGCCCGACCTGGGCATTCTGACCAGTCCCACTGCCGCTCTAGGTGCTCGTGAGCTTGCTGCCCCAGGTACTGGTGAGGCTGCTGCTCTAGGTGCTCGTGAGTCTGTGCCCCCTGGTACTGAGTCGACTGCAGCACTGCACACCTTCACACTGGACTCAGGTGCTTCTCGCTGTTTCTTTCGTGACCGCACTGTCCTTGAGCCACTCGCTCGGCCAGTTGCTGTCTCCCTCGCTGACCCCTCTGGGGGTCCGGTCATTGCGACCTCCTCCACTGTCCTTCCCTGTCCTGCGGTCCCGTCGGGCACACTGTCAGGTCTCCACCTCCCCTCGTTCTCTACGAACCTGGTGGCAGGCTGTGCGCTCCAGGACGGGGGTGTTCACCAGTTCACCCCTGCCTACGAGCGTGTGACACACTGCACGTGTGCTCGGACGGGTCGCCACCTGGCTACCTTCACTCGGGAGCCAGGGTCGGACCTGTACACACTGACCACTGAGTCCCCTCAGGTAGCTGCGTCTGCGTCTGCGTCAGGTCAGCTGTCCGCCCCCTGCTCGTATCGCTCTCTGGCGCACGACACTGTCCTCTGGCACCACCGACTTGGCCACCCGTCTGTGCAGCGCCTTCGCGCCATGCACAAACGGCAGCTTGTCTCTGGTCTTCCCAGGGTTCTCCCTCCCCTCCCACCCTCGCCTGCTCCTGACTGCCTTCCCTGTGTCGAGGGGCGGCAGCGCGCCGCTCCTCACTCCTCCTCCTTCCCCCCGACGACTGCTCCCTTGCAGACGCTCCACATGGACGTGTGGGGCCCAGCCCGCGTCCGTGGTCAGGGTCAGGAGAGGTACTTCCTGATAGTTGTTGACGACTACTCGCGCTACACCACGGTCTTCCCCTTGCGCACCAAGGGTGAGGTCCCTGGTGTTTTGATCCCCTGGATCAGCCGAGCCCGTCTCCAGCTAGGCAAGCGTATTCGCTCGGACTTTCCTGTCCTGCGCTTGCACTCTGACAGAGGCGGTGAGTTCTCCTCCGACCTCTTGGCAGCCTACTGTGCTGAGCACGGCATTGAGCAGTCGTTCACGCTTCCGGCCTCTCCACAGCAGAATGGGGTCGCTGAGCGCCGCGTTGGCTTGGTCATGGAGGTCGCTCGTACCTCCCTGACCCACGCGGCTGCTCCCCACTTTCTGTGGCCGTTTGCGGTCCGGTACGCTGCGCATCAGCTCAACCTCTGGCCCCGTGTCTCCTTGCCGGAGACTTCCCCGACTCTGCGGTGGACGGGAGAGGTTGGCAATGCGTCGCGTTTCCGGGTCTGGGGATCCCGAGCTTTTGTCCGCGACACGTCCGCGGACAAGCTCTCCCGTCGCGCTGTTCCCTGCGTCTTCCTTGGCTTTGTACCGGACGCGCCTGGCTGGCAGTTTTACCACGTCACCTCGCGCCGGGTCCTGGCTTCTCAAGACGTCACTTTTGACGAGTCCGTCCCCTTCTACCGCCTCTTCCCCTACCGCACTGCCCCGCTCCCTCCCCCGCCTCTCTTCCTCGCGCCAGGTGCTGCTGTGGTAGACCCCCTCCCCCCTCAGGGTGCCGCTCCCTCAGGTGTGTCCCAGGTAGACCCGGTTGACCCTGTTGAGGTAGCTGTCGACTCCCGCCCTGCCAGAGATACTGAGCCTGAGCGTGAGGAGCCTGACGGCACTGAGCCTGGAGGTGCGGAGCCTGGGGGTGCTGAGCCTGGAGGTGCTGCGTCTGGGAGTGCTGAGTCTGGAGGTGCGGAGCCTGGAGGTGCTGAGCCTGGGGGTGCTGAGTCTGGGGGTGCTGAGTCTGGGGGTGCTGAGCCTGAGCGTGCTACACCTGGAGGAGCTCTCTCCTCCCAGCAGCTGCAGGAGAGGTACCTACAGTACTGCCGCCTCAGGAGAGGTGCTACTGGAGCTCGTACCAGTGCTTCCCCTCCTACCCAGGAGCTCCCCCCCATTCAGCAGATCCGAGAGTGGTACACGAGGCGCTGCAGTCTTCGGAGTGGTGCTCCTGGTGCTGCGGACCCTGGGGGTGACGCTGCTACTGGTGCTGAGGAGCCGGGCGTTGGAGCTGCTGCTGGTACTGAGGACCCGAGCGGTGGCGCTGCTGCTGGTGCTGAGGAGCCGGGCGTTGGAGCTGCTGCTGGTGCTGAGGACCCGAGCGGTGGAGCTGCTGCTGGTGCTGAGGACCCGGACGTTGGAGCTGCTGCTGGTGCTGAGGACCCTGCCGCTGGTGTCTCTACTGGTTCTGGAGACGCTGCGCGGCCGCGACCGTACTTCGTGCCGCTCCTTCAGCAGGTTCTTGGTCAGGCTCCTCCTCCTGGTCCTCCTCCCTCCGTA